ACCACCTTACTGTATGTTGTACATATTGGCCCACAAGTTGACCATCTTACTGTATGTTGTACATATTGGCCCACAACTTGACCACCTTACTGTATGTTGTACATATTGGCCCACAACTTGACCACCTTACTGTATGTTGTACATATTGGTCCACAAGTTTACCATCTTACTGTATGTTGTACATATTGGCCCACAACTTGACCACCTTACTGTATGTTGTACATATTGGCCCACACGTTGACCATCTTACTGTATGTTGTACATATTGGCCCACATCTTACTGTATGTTGTACATATTGGCCCACAAGTTGACCACCTTACTGTATGTTGTACATATTGGCCCACAAGTTGACCATCTTACTGTATGTTGTACATATTGGCCCACAAGTTGACCACCTTACTGTATGTTGTACATATTGGCCCACAAGTTGACCATCTTACTGTATGTTGTACATATTGGCCCACAAGTTGACCACCTTACTGTATGTTGTACATATTGGCCCACAACTTGACCACCTTACTGTATGTGGTACATATTGGCCCACAACTTGACCACCTTCCTGTATGTTGTACATATTGGCCCACAACTTGACCATCTTACTGTATGTTGTACATATTGGCCCACAACTTGACCACCTTACTGTATGCTGTACATATTGGCCCACAACTTGACCATCTTACTGTATGTTGACATATAATAATGTTGTACATATTGGCCCACAACTTGACCACCTTACTGTATGTTGTACATATTGGCCCACAACTTGACCATCTTACTGTATGTTGTACATATTGGCCCACAACTTGACCATCTTACTGTATGTTGTACATATTGGCCCACAACTTGACCACCTTACTGTATGTTGTACATATTGGCCCACAAGTTGACCATCTTACTGTATGTTGTACATATTGGCCCACAACTTGACCACCTTACTGCATGTTGTACATATTGGCCCACAACTTGACCACCTTACTGTATGTTGTACATATTGGCCCACAACTTACTGTATGTTGTACATATTGGCCCACAAGTTGACCACCTTACTGTATGTTGTACATATTGGCCCACAAGTTGACCATCTTACTGTATGTTGTACATATTGGCCCACAAGTTGACCACCTTACTGTATGTTGTACATATTGGCCCACAACTTGACCACCTTACTGTATGTGGTACATATTGGCCCACAACTTGACCACCTTACTGTATGTTGTACATATTGGCCCACAACTTGACCACCTTACTGTATGTTGTACATATTGGCCCACAAGTTGACCATCTTACTGCATGTTGTAAATATTGGCCCACAACTTGACCACCTTACTGCATGTTGTACATATTGGCCCACAACTTGACCACCTTACTGTATGTTGTACATATTGGCCCACAACTTACTGTATGTTGTACATATTGGCCCACAAGTTGACCATCTTACTGTATGTTGTACATATTGGCCCACAAGTTGACCATCTTACTGTATGTTGTACATATTGGCCCACAAGTTGACCACCTTACTGTATGTTGTACATATTGGCCCACAACTTGACCACCTTACTGTATGTGGTACATATTGGCCCACAACTTGACCACCTTACTGTATGTTGTACATATTGGCCCACAACTTGACCACCTTACTGTATGTTGTACATATTGGCCCACAACTTGACCACCTTACTGTATGTTGTACATATTGGCCCACAAGTTGACCATCTTACTGTATGTTGTACATATTGGCCCACAACTTGACCACCTTACTGCATGTTGTACATATTGGCCCACAAGTTGACCATCTTACTGTATGTTGTACATATTGGCCCACAAGTTGACCATCTTACTGTATGTTGTACATATTGGCCCACAAGTCGACCACCTTACTGTATGTTGTACATATTGGCCCACAACTTGACCACCTTACTTTATGTGGTACATATTGGCCCACAACTTGACCACCTTACTGTATGTTGTACATATTGGCCCACAACTTGACCACCTTACTGTATGTTGTACATATTGGCCCACAACTTACTGTATGTTGTACATATTGGCCCACAAGTTGACCATCTTACTGTATGTTGTACATATTGGCCCACAAGTTGACCATCTTACTGTATGTTGTTCATATTGGCCCACAAGTTGACCACCTTACTGTATGTTGTACATATTGGCCCACAACTTGACCACCTTACTGTATGTTGTACATATTGGCCCACAACTTACTGTATGTTGTACATATTGGCCCACAAGTTGACCATCTTACTGTATGTTGTACATATTGGCCCACAAGTTGACCATCTTACTGTATGTTGTACATATTGGCCCACAAGTTGACCACCTTACTGTATGTTGTACATATTGGCCCACAACTTGACCACCTTACTGTATGTGGTACATATTGGCCCACAACTTGACCACCTTACTGTATGTTGTACATATTGGCCCACAACTTGACCACCTTACTGTATGTTGTACATATTGGCCCACAAGTTGACCATCTTACTGTATGTTGTACATATTGGCCCACAACTTGACCACCTTACTGCATGTTGTACATATTGGCCCACAACTTGACCACCTTACTGCATGTTGTACATATTGGCCCACAACTTACTGTATGTTGTACATATTGGCCCACAAGTTGACCATCTTACTGTATGTTGTACATATTGGCCCACAAGTTGACCATCTTACTGTATGTTGTACATATTGGCCCACAAGTTGACCATCTTACTGTATGTTGTACATATTGGCCCACAAGTTGACCACCTTACTGTATGTTGTACATATTGGCCCACAACTTGACCACCTTACTGTATGTGGTACATATTGGCCCACAACTTGACCACCTTACTGTATATTGTACATATTGGCCCACAACTTGACCACCTTACTGTATGTTGTACATATTGGCCCACAAGTTGACCATCTTACTGTATGTTGTACATATTGGCCCACAACTTGACCACCTTACTGCATGTTGTACATATTGGCCCACAACTTGACCACCTTACTATATGTTGTACATATTGGCCCACAACTTACTGTATGTTGTACATATTGGCCCACAAGTTGACCATCTTACTGTATGTTGTACATATTGGCCCACAAGTTGACCACCTTACTGTATGTTGTACATATTTGCCCACAAGTTGACCATCTTACTGTATGTTGTACATATTGGCCCACAACTTGACCACCTTACTGTATGTTGTACATATTGGCCCACAAGTTGACCACCTTACTGTATGTTGTACATATTGGCCCACAAGTTGACCATCTTACTGTATGTTGTACATATTGGCCCACAAGTTGACCATGTTACTGTATGTTGTACATATTGGCCCACAACTTGACTACCTTACTGTATGTTGTACATATTGGCCCACAACTTGACCATCTTACTGTATGTTGTACATATTGGCCCACAACTTACTGTATGTTGTACATATTTGCCCACAAGTTGACCATCTTACTGTATGTTGTACATATTGGCCCACAACTTGACCACCTTACTGTATTTTGTACATATTGGCCCACAACTTGACTACCTTACTGTATGTTGTACATAATGGCCCACAAGTTGACCATCTTACTGTATGTTGTACATATTGGCCCACAACTTACTGTATGTTGTACATATTGGCCCACAACTTGACTACCTTACTGTATGTTGTACATATTGGCCCACAACTTGACCATCTTACTGTATGTTGTACATATTGGCCCACAACTTACTGTATGTTGTACATATTGGCCCACAAGTTGACCATCTTACTGTATGTTGTACATATTGGCCCACAACTTGACCACCTTACTGTATTTTGTACATATTGGCCCACAACTTGACTACCTTACTGTATGTTGTACATAATGGCCCACAAGTTGACCATCTTACTGTATGTTGTACATATTGGCCCACAACTTACTGTATGTTGTACATATTGGCCCACAACTTGACCACCTTACTGTATGTGGTACATATTGGCCCACAACTTGACCACCTTACTGTATGTTGTACATATTGGCCCACAACTTGACCACCTTACTGTATGTTGTACATATTGGCCCACAAGTTGACCACCTTACTGCATGTTGTAAATATTGGCCCACAACTTGACCACCTTACTGCATGTTGTACATATTGGCCCACAACTTGACCACCTTACTGTATGTTGTACATATTGGCCCACAACTTACTGTATGTTGTACATATTGGCCCACAAGTTGACCATCTTACTGTATGTTGTACATATTGGCCCACAAGTTGACCATCTTACTGTATGTTGTACATATTGGCCCACAAGTTGACCACCTTACTGTATGTTGTACATATTGGCCCACAACTTGACCACCTTACTGTATGTGGTACATATTGGCCCACAACTTGACCACCTTACTGTATGTTGTACATATTGGCCCACAACTTGACCACCTTACTGTATGTTGTACATATTGGCCCACAAGTTGACCATCTTACTGTATGTTGTACATATTGGCCCACAACTTGACCACCTTACTGCATGTTGTACATATTGGCCCACAACTTGACCACCTTACTGTATGTTGTACATATTGGCCCACAACTTACTGTATGTTGTACATATTGGCCCACAAGTTGACCATCTTACTGTATGTTGTACATATTGGCCCACAAGTTGACCATCTTACTGTATGTTGTACATATTGGCCCACAAGTTGACCACCTTACTGTATGTTGTACATATTGGCCCACAAGTTGACCATCTTACTGTATGTTGTACATATTGGCCCACAACTTGACCACCTTACTGTATTTTGTACATATTGGCCCACAACTTGACCACCTTACTGTATGTTGTACATATTGGCCCACAACTTGACTACCTTACTGTTTGTTGTACATATTGGCCCACATCTTACTGTATGTTGTACATATTGGCCCACAAGTTGACCACCTTACTGTATGTTGTACAGAATGACCCACACCCATCTGATTCTGACCTTGACCTTTCCCCCACAGATCCGCCCGGAGAGCTGCATGTTCAAGGACGTTCGGCATGCCATGCCAATCAGCATACGACGGTGACGTCATCAGCCTTCCTGTCAAAACGTCATGCGTGCTAGTTTTGGCATTTGACATCAGGTAGTGTCATATAGATGACCTCGGTGATGACGTATTTCCTCTACATGGCCTCAAATGACGGGCCAACAGCAGACGTGAAAATCTGGCACCCACTGGTTGGCCATTGACGCACTGGACGGCCATTGGCCATCGCCCTGTTTTTTCACAGTCTACAACTTTTGTCGAATATTTCCAGAACCTTCTTAGCCTCAGTCCTACCGCGTCAAGGTTACATCATTGGGTTTACATCTTCAAAGTTACAGCTTCAAGTCAACCTACAGCTTCAAGTCAACCTACAGCTTCAAGTCAACCTACAGCTTTAAGTCAACCTACAGCTTCCAGTCAACCTACAGCTTTAAGTCAACCTACAGCTTCCAGTCAACCTACAGCTTCAAGTCAACCTACAGCTTCAAGTCAACCTACAGCTTTAAGTCAACCTACAGCTTCAAGTCAACCTACAGCTTTAAGTCAACCTACAGCTTCCAGTCAACCTACAGCTTCAAGTCAACCTACAGCTTCAAGTCAACCTACAGCTTCAAGTCAACCTACAGCTTCAAGTCAACCTACAGCTTCAAGTCAACCTTCAGCTTTAAGTCAACCTACAGCTTTAAGTCAACCTACAGCTTCAAGTCAACCTACAGCTTCAAGTCAACCTACAGCTTCAAGTCAACCTACAGCTTCAAGTCAACCTACAGTTACAAGTTTACAGCTTCATGTAAGCATCAGAACTACAGCTTCTTATTAGTCTACATCTACAGCTTCCTGTGCACTGCTTAAGGCCTACAGCTTCAGTTCTACAGCTTCAGTTCTCCAGCTTTATGCTCACAGCTCCAATGCTAATGGTTCCTGGTATCGCCATGATGTGTTGTGTGACGCCTTCCCTTGGGATGTTCATTCCAAATTCTCGAGATGAAACTGTAGCCGTTGTCTTGAAGGTGTGGTATTGTGGGCGTGTCTTGGAGGTGTGGTAATGTGGGCGTGTCTTGGTGGTGTGGTGTCAGGTGTTGCAGTGAATATGTCACGTGGTGCAGTGAATGTGTCGCGTGGTACAGTGAATGTGTCACGTGGTACAGTATATGTGTCACGTGGTACAGCATATGTGTCACGTGGTATAGTAAATGTGTCACGGGTTGCAATGAATGTGTCACGTGGTACAGTGAATGTGTCACGTGGTACAGTGAATGTGTCACGTGGTACAGTGAATGTGTCACGTGGTACAGTGAATGTGTCACGTGGTACCGTGAATGTGTCACGTGGTACAGTGAATGTGTCACGTGGTGCAGTGAATGTTTCACGTGGTACAGCGAATGTGTGACGTGGTATAGTAAATGTGTCACGTGGTGCAATGATTGTGTCACGTGGTACCGTGAATGTTTACTACTTCTGAAGTTTCTAAAAGGGATGAGTCCACGAGTAAACGTTCACTCAGTTTAAATGACAAAAGTTCAATTTGATGTCATTTGGGCATTCGATTCGATGTCATTTGGGCATTCGAATTTTCATTTTTGAACGTGTTTATTCATGATTGAGATTTCTATTTATGAAATTATTGAATTGAGTTTTTTAACATAGTGTAAATATTTCATATTTTTACAGTGTAAATATTGAAATGGAATAATTTTGTGTTTGATTAAAGTGTACAGACTTCACTGACTCTGTCCTGTTATATATGTACATGTTTTGTTGCTATGTACAGGTTGTGTTGCTATAGAGACGCTAACAACTCTGTGTATAGCAATCACGTGTTACTGGTAAATCTTCGGCCACACATACAGGTAGTAGGTCAACACACACACACAGGTAGTAGGTCAACACACACACAGGTAGTAGGTCAAGTAGGCCAACACACACACAAGTAGTAGGTCAACACACACAGGTAGTAGTTTCAACACACACAGGTACTAGGTCAACACACACGCAGGTATTACAATCAGAAAAGCACCACAACCGGTCTTGAAATCTTTGTAAAAAAATTGACTCGATGGATTAAAATAATATTTAAGACAAGTGAACTAGATTAGGGGAGATAATCACTCTCTTATTAAAAAAAAAGTCTACATCTTTTTTTTTTTTTAATCAGATCCATTATTTTTTTTTAATCTAATACAATAATTGATTTATAATTCTTTTTTTTAAAACAATTTTTTTTCAATACAAAAATATTTTTTTTAAATCACCAGCACATCTATTCTTTAGACCAAAGAAAACTACACAATATTTTTTTTAAACATTTTATAACAGCACACAATTTTGAATTTATTTATTGAAACCATTCGAGACCATTCAAGTCTGCGCCCATTGAGCATTACCCGAATCATATTTCACCAAGATGTAGCACTTTAAAAAAAACCATCAGGTATAAATTGTGCCAAAAGTAGATAAATGTGTATATTTTCTAAACACGCATTTTTAAAAAGATTACATTTTTTTTCCAGGTTTGAGGAATATCTATGTTAACGTAAAAAAGGGTTAAACGAAAAATGTATGGTCTAAGGGAAACAAACATTAAATTTATCAATTTTATAGGTTGTTTTTTTTTCGCGGTTACCTCGCTTAAATATCTTATTTAAATGTGTGCTTAAAACTTTGCAGAGTTAGCAATAAATTTATAGTCAAAGGGAAACAAAAAAAAAAATATTTTCACTTTACAGTCTAGCCAAAGTTACCTCAGTTTAAAATTTTGAATCCGTTTTGTTGGGATAACACAAGCTAAATATTTAAAGAGTAGGCACACTAAATAGTAAACACATTTTAATCTACTATTAATTTTTGTATATTAACTTAAATAATATTTATGTGTATCAATTTTTAATGTTAATAAATAAACACCCTAATGTAAGCGAGATAACCACGGCAAAACCATGTCGTTAAATTATTTCATGATTGTTCCCCTTTGACCATAAATTTGAATAATAGTTTTTTAAAACAAATTGGAATAGCCTATAACTGCCCTTTGCATAGCGAGCGATGTATGAACAAAACATGTTTGTTTGTCTTGAGTTTTGATACTTAGATTTTAGTGTATTATTACAATCGAATTATAATTGTAAAATTACACAGCAGCAAAGCCTTCCGACGACATAGTCCTACATTAAATGAAATAAATATAAAAACCTTGATAACTAGAGAAATGTCCCGTTTAAGGGGAAATAAAACGGTTTCTATGTTAATTTTTTTTCTATATTAATTTTTGTATATTAACTTAAATAAATATTTATGTGTATCAATTTTTAACGTTAATAAATAAAAATCCTAATGTAAGCGAGATAACCACGGCAAAACCATGTCGTTAAATTATTTCATGATTGTTCCCCTTTGACCATAAATTGAATAATAGTTTTTAAAACAAATTGTTGAGTTTTGATACTTAGATTTTAGTGTATTATTACAATCGAATTATAATTGTAAAATTACACAGCAGCAAAGCCTTCCGACGACATAGTCCTACATTAAATGAAATAAATATAAAAACCTTGATAACTAGAGAAATGTCCCGTTTAAGGGGAAATAAAACGGTTTCTATGTTAATTTTTTTTCTATATTAATTTTTGTATATTAACTTAAATAAATATTTATGTGTATCAATTTTTAACGTTAATAAATAAAAATCCTAATGTAAGCGAGATAACCACGGCAAAACCATGTCGTTAAATTATTTCATGATTGTTCCCCTTTGACCATAAATTGAATAATAGTTTTTAAAACAAATTGTTGAGTTTTGATACTTAGATTTTAGTGTATTATTACAATCGAATTATAATTGTAAAATTACACAGCAGCAAAGCCTTCCGACGACATAGTCCTACATTAAATGAAATAAATATAAAAACCTTGATAACTAGAGAAATGTCCCGTTTAAGGGGAAATAAAACGGATTCTACGGAAATTTAACAGTAACCGCCCAATCAGCGGACATGATGTGCAGGGGTAGACACGGTCTGCGACACTCATTCTTAGCTATTGAAACTCGGATTTAGTGAGGGGACTTCAAATGCCTTAGAGCCATTTCAGTTACTATAACCCGATCTAACTAACGTACAATATTATGGACATACGCACAATTAAAATAAAATCTGTGTTCCAGTTCCCAACCTAATCCCAGTTGTAACAATGCCACAAGACGCTAAACATCGCTGTGGGTCACATATACATGTGCTATGTACATAATCAACAAATGGCTGTATGTTAGGAGCATGTGTTTGTGTTGATGGTAAACAATGGCACCACATGCTCGGTCACGTGACTTCACAATTCAGCTGGTGGTGAGTAAGGTGCTTTATTTATGGTGATGACGAGTTCGTTGTGTTGTGCTATATTTACTGGTGTATTGAAGAATGCGTTGTATGTGTTTGAGAGCCCCCCCCTCCCCGTCGTGTTATTTATTAAAGCATGTCCATGTCAACATGTCTGTCCATGTCTGACCTCCACATATTACTCAGTAGACTTTCCTGAAAATCTATTTTCCCTGTAGATCTCCCCACTCTACTTCACCTACTCTAAAGAACCACTTGCCGTGTTATGTCGGCTACTCCTAGCTCGACTAACCCCACGACAAGGATCAAATATTATTTCATGAATGATTTGATTTACCAATCTTTTCAAACTTTTGATGTTTGCATCATTCTCTGTTTTTAGCGCAATTTCCATACTGGCAAATTGCGTTTAATAATGCGTCATTTCTGGGTGGATGTATGGATGTGTGGATGTGTGTCCGCAGCCTTTAAGTCGTATCTCCTCCTCAACGAAGCAATATCGAGGACTAGTTCCAAAAGCAAATATGTTAAGCAAGTTCCAAGGATGATTGTGGGCCAAAACAATTCCCGGAATTCCTTCCTGGATTTCCCGGAAAAGCCAAAAAAACCTCGAACAAATGCAGTTTTTGCTCCACTTAGCGACTTGAAACATTTACTAATCGATTCCTGCCATAATTTAGACCAATATTGCCGAAGAAAGTTTTCAAAAATATCCTTTCGTTCGGTCAAAAAAAATTTTTTGAGATGATTTAAACTGAGCATCTTGTAGGCCTAGGATGATATTTACTACTTGTTTAAACTGAGCATCCTGTAGGCTTTTTCCCCCTTTGATGCGTAGCTTGACGCGTTCTGCGGTACACGCTGCCATTGGCCAGACTCGCGCAGATCTCGCGAGGGGGCGGGGACTAGCTCTGCTCGTGTGGAGAGAAACGAAAAGGGGTGCTCGCGTCTCGCGGTTTGGGTGTGAGAAAATAGTGGTGTGGGTGTGAGAAAATGGTGGTGTGGGTGTGAGAAAATGGTGGTGTGGGTGTGAGAAAATGGTGGTGTGGGTGTGAGAAAATGGTGGTGTGGGTGTGAGAAAATGGTGGTGTGGGTGTGAGAAAATG